TTCAACAGTGTACACAACTTGGTAGTCCTTAATTATTTTGATGATGTTTGAATATATCCTTCAACAGTGTACACAACTTGGTAGTCCTTAATTATTTTGATGATGTTTGAATATATCCTTCAACAGTGTACACAACTTGGTAGTCCTTAATTATTTTGATGTGGTTTGAATATATACTTCAACAGTGTACACAACTTGGTAGTCCTTAATTATTTTGATGTGGTTTGAATATATCCTTCAAAAGTGTACACAACTTGGTAGTCCTTAATTATTTTGATGTGGTTTGAATATATCCTTCAAAAGTGTACACAACTTGGTAGTTCTTAATTATTTTGATGTGGTTTTGTGACAATAAATCATAATAGTATATAGCTTAAAAGTAATCCTTAGTAACTTTGGTGTGGAGGGAATATATTCTCCAATAGTGTACATAAATTAATGTTTCCCTTAACAAAGTATAAATCCATAACATATTTAGTTGTGTAGTTTAACAAATGAAGCACTGTTTTATTTCATTTATTTGTGTGACTTGCCGATTCAAAATAGATACAATAATTTTGCATTTGTTGAATTTCACACAAAGTAAATAAGGGCTATCTATACTAGCCATCTCTAATTTTGAGGTGACAGACTAGAGAGAAAGCAGCTAGTCACCAACCACCAACTCATGTAATACTTATTATCAACAAACAGTAGGATTAACCATCACATTATAACACCCCCATGGTGGAAAGGGTGAGCATATTAGGTGATGGGGGCTCGACCTCAAGATCCACACATAAGTTATTATAAAAGTTACAATTCTTTTCAAGTGTTTGGTATGTTATTGTTTAAACTAAAGATAAGAACCACTAAAACATTTTATTTCTTTAATACAACTGAAGCATTCCCAGTAATTTAAGTCATATATTATAGAAGCACATATTTTTTGTTCTAAAATGCAGGAGTTCCTACACTTTACAGAACATGACTCAGTCCTCCCCACTCAATGAATATATAGATACTTAAACCTTAATAGTAATGTGTATTTGTTACAGCCCCTCTTGACACTTTCCTGCAGCCCACAGTTTAGAAACTCCTGCTTTAAGGGACCAAGTATAATTTCAAAGAAGCTCTACAAACATCAGCAAGTAATGAGCATGTTCATACGTGTTACCAAACTGCAAATCCTGCACTGAACATGATTTGATTTGAAACTAATTCAGAGTCAACAGCAAGGAATATGTATAATCATGTTTGAAAGGTTTTAAATTCATTATACTGTTTTAAAAGCTGATTCCAATTTTCTAACAACACCAAAGAACTAATATAAAACAGAAATGCAGAATATTTATCTGAAATTTTGAATTGTCAATTCAGTTGATTAATAACTAACTGGCTACAAGTCGAACAATCTATTTTGATATCAGAAAAAAATATTTGGATCTAAACTAAAAACACACTTTACCAAGAAAAATAACTCCCATAATCCAAAACTGAATTCTTAAAAGGTCTCTCCACTGAAGAGCAGAAACAACTAGCCATGCAACAGCAAACACCACATACACTCCACACATAACTCCATAAAACTGAAAGAAAAAACAAGCCATTAACTATAACTAAATCTAATATGTGTAAAGTTATCATACATAGTATATCCATGTTATTTGAAGCTATCAATTGGTGAGTCTGAAATTATAACTAAGTGATAAAGATAACATTACGCATCTATATACCACTGAATATTCGGATCTGTTTATAATAACTTCATTATAAGCTTAGTTATTTCCATTAGTTTAAAATATATATCACATGGCATTAAAATACCAGTTAGCTTTAATGTTCAAAACACATTTTATTCATGAAATGTTTGAGCCTTCCATTCATTAGTCACTTAAAAAACAAGAAAACATTTCACAAGCTGGGACCATCTTTTCTTTTTATTCTATTCATCTATGTTATTTATTCTTTAAATATTTGTTTCTTTAATCATTTAAAATCTCAAAAAAAATTTTTGTTTAGTGACTGCGTGTGTGTTTTTTGTAGCAAAGCCACGTTGGGCTATCTGCCGTGTCCACCGAGGGCAATCGAACCCCTGATTTCAGCATTGTAAATCCACAGACTGATCACTGCCCCACTGGGGACTATTTTGGGTCAGTTTATTTTTCGTAGACAAACTAGTTCTTAAACTTTAGGTCTTAACTGAACCCTCACAGCCATTCCTTATTTATTTTTCAGTCTTAACTGAACCCTCACAGCCATTCCTTATTTATTTTTCAGTCTTAACTGAACCCTCACAGTCATTCCTTATTTATTTTTCAGACTTAACTGAACCCTCACAGTCATTCCTTATTTATTTTTCAGTCTTAACTGAACCCTCACAGTCATTCCTTATTTATTTTTCAGTCTTAACTGAACCCTCACAGTCATTCCTTATTTATTTTTCAAACTGTTTTTATATATATAGATATATATATTCTGATGTTGAAAATACACACCTATATTTCTCACACACCAAATCTTTTTACATACAGAACAATGTTAATGAGTAAATCTTTTAAAATACACTGAGAAATTTATTTTGATTACCACTAGCCACTCCCACACTCAGGATATTCCACTAACCGGTTTAAACACATTACAAAATGACAAGAATATCACCCAAAAAAGAATACAATATTTCTAAGATAAACACAACATGAACACTATCTCCAGAATACATATTTTTATACTATAACTTGGTATTTGTCTTACAGCTTCATTTTTATTGTGTAAAATTTTTCTTGAAATTATGTATAGCAATAGATACCATTAGCATTCAAAAAGGTAAAAAAATATACAAAGATATTTAAACTCCTTTTCTGGCAGACAGATCTTTAACATTTAAAAAAAGTCGTTCTTGTTTTATTAATTCAATTTATACCGTAAGCACAGAAACATTAAGCAATCTTACCAAACTTTCAAATCAATGTTACTCTAGTGGTCTACAATAAAAAGTATCAGAATTATTATTGGCTTGCTGGCTAAAAGTTAAGTTTTTGTTTAGCTAGTGACCATCAAAGAAAAATGTCAGTTGATAACCCAGATCAACTCAGATATAAACAACAGTAAAAATTACATAAAGATATTAAAAAAACTTGATGCCAGCACAGCTTTTATGTGAAACTACAATAACCAATTGGTAAGCCTTTTTTTTAGTAGGTTGCTGTGTATCATTCTTTCACCTTTGTTTAAAATTTCTCAATTTTAAAATAGACGTACAGCATATTCTAATGGTGTTTCAGTTTTATATATATATATATATTCATGATAAGGAATGTAATTATTATCACAAACACAGACTAAAATTCAAGAAAACATAAAAAACAACATGAAATGGAAAATACAATGCCTTCTGGAAATATATTCTGTAATACTATCTCTATATTTTTCTGAACACCAAAGCTGTGATGTCCTTTACACTATATGTCTTTAAATAGATACATATTGCCAACCTCCTATTCACAGGCTAATACTTTTACTACAACCTTAGATATTAAAAGCTTTGGCTGATTCTTATCATAGATACACCTAACCTACAACAAGAACATTTATGAGCATATAAACAGACTAGCTATACTTTCAAATAGATTTTTTGTTTTCTACTTATCTTAGTGTCTTCTACCATCGAAGTAATAGTATGTATAGATGATCTCATGTTAAAATTAAATCATGAAAAATAAAATAAAAAGGAAAACTGGATCTGCCATATTTCAAAACCATATTTATAGGTGCAAGGCTCTATTACCCGGTCGGTAAGTTCCCTTAAAAACTACACAGTTATATCTAAAATAGTATTATAATACTTGTTGATATAAGATACTACAAGGTGAATATAAATTAGACCAAGTACTTTATTTTTTCATAATTCATATATATATATATATATGTGTGTGTGTGTGTGTGTGTGTGTGTGTGTATGTATATATATATATGATAATGGTGTACATTCCTTCAAAAATAAAATGAACATTTTTTTAAATTGTTAAATAATAACGTAACAATGATACAAAAGCAACTTACAGGTAAGAGAGGCCAGTCAATTGCAGACAAGAAACCGTAATCACCTTTCAACTTAATGTCAACTGAAGTAGAAAAACAACATTATATAAGACTTAGTTGCTGCACCATAACATCTATTACTGTATCAGTTAGTTAAAAATATTCACTATCAGTGCAAGAAATTTGCAATTTCTAAAATACTTTAATATTCTGATGTACAACCAGATAATTTATCTAAAACCGGTTCAAACCCTTTTCACTGCTTTGAAAATTTCCATGAAGGAACCTCAGAATTCTTAACAGCTTTACCTTAAATTTTTTTAGCAAAATGTTCAAAATGCAGTAGCAGATTGACTACAATCACGCATCTGTCACAAGAGCAAGCCCAGCATCTTATAGTACAGAGCCTAGGATGGTCAACAGGGGGGATTCGTTCCAGAAACCTGTGATGTACGGTTATTTCAATAGATCACTATGAATGAAGCTCTACACAATAGTACTGAGCCTAGGATGGTCAACATGGGGGATTCGTTCCAGAAACCGGTGATGTACGGTTATTTCAATAGATCACTATGAATGAAGCTCTGCACAATAGTACAGAGCCTAGGACGGTCAACATGGGGGTTTCGTTCCAGAAACCGGTGATGTACGGTTATTTCAATAGATCACTATGAGGGGGGTTCGTTCCAGAAACCGGTGATGTACGGTTATTTCAATAGATCACTATGAATGAAGCTCTGCACAATAGTACAGAGCCTAGGACGGTCAACATGGGGATTTCGTTCCAGAAACCGGTGATGTACGGTTATTTCAATGGATCACTATGAATGAAGCTCTGCACAACTTCTAAAATGAAATTAAATATTAATGAAAATATGACATGATGAACTCTATATGGATTATATTATGTTGGTACCATACTGGACATTATACCATCCTTCTTATGTTTACTCTTCATTGCAGAAATGATATTTGTAATTTGAGAATCACTATGGAAATCATCTTGTAATGCATCATGCACCTGCATCTTTGGTCTTTACCATGCCTTTAGTTTCACAAAATACTGAGACTAATAATTTCTTATATATATAATTCCAATACCCTTTTTGAAGATAATGATACTTTTGTGCTCATTGCTTTATGTTTTGCTGTCAATGCAATAATTAATTGATAAATCACCGATTTAGCTGGTATGACAGATTGATTGGGATATCTTCAAATAAGTTCTTCCCTCATCTGACCTGGACCCACGGTTTAGCTTAATGTCCACACTTAAATCATCACATTTCATGCATGTTTCATTGCTACATCTTTTTAACTTTACATTTACAAGTTAACTTCTCCATGTTGGCTCACATTGTCTTGGGTCAGGTCACAGGTCAGGTTCAACAACCTAGACCTTGAAAATAGTGTCAAACATCTTATTTTTGTCTAATCAAAACAACCCAAACCTTTCTGGAGTGTTTTTTTTTATCCACATCAAGATGCCGGGCTGGCTCATGTGGCAGGTGGTAAATAATCATTATAAATTTACCTTCAATTCTACCTCAAAGTGTTTTGTACATTCAGTGAAAGTCAAAAACATTCTTACATTTGTTATAATATTTCTACAAGATTGATAAATTTATAAAATATTTAAATGTAAATTAATCCAAACCTATAAACAAATACATATGGATGTTTCTATGCATACATGCCCACAAATACATGTGGATGTTTATGTGCATATACATGTCCACCAATACATATGGATGTTTCTGTGCATATACATGTCCACCAATACATGTGGATGTTTCTGTACATATACATGTCCACAAATACATATGGATGTTTCTGTACATATACATGTCCACAAATATATATGGATGTTTCTGTACATATACATGTCCACCAATACATATGAATGTTTTTGTGCATATACATGTCCACCAATACATATGGATGTTTCTGTGCATATACATGTCCACAATACATATGGATGTTTCTGTGCATATACATGTTTCTGTGCATATACATGTCCACCAATACATATGGATGTTTCTGTGCATACATGTCCACCAATACATATGGATGTTTCTGTACATATACATGTCCACCAATACATATGGATGTTTCTGTACATATACATGTCCACCAATACATAAACTTATCAATAAACACAGTGCACTTGTGTTTATCCTCTACAGACCAATTAAAAAATGTTATTTAACAACCTTATTTATCATACTTAACTCATAACAACAAATATGTACATTTATACAAAATATTATTAAACTCTGACGTTGGTCTAACAGTTTTAGTTTTTGGGTACTCACCCGTTGTTCTGAAATCCTTATTTTCACCCACAGACTTCAAGTTGACTACTAGAAGATAGACACCATCTTGATCAACAGCAGCTAGGTAGTCTGGGGTCTATGTAAGAAAGTAAATCAGATTGTTATCTTAAAAAAATTATTAGTTTTCCATTAACTCTAAATATAATTACACTTGGTTTACAATTTATTCCAAAAATAGACAGTTTGTTGTTTGTTTTTAACCATTATAAACAATATTTCGAAAATTAAATAATGAATACTTTAACTTGAAGCTATTTCAAATATCAGAGCATATTGTGAAAAAGATCAGTAAAACACATTTTCACTGTAGAAGTACAAGTACTTAAGCCTAACAATCACAATTAAAATTATGTTTGACCACAGATGCTTTTATTACCACACTCCTTTTATTAGATTTCATTGTTCTGACAGTTTCAATATTTTTACACTACAACATTAAGAAAAATAATTTAATAAAAATATGTATCCACAGAATACTAAGCCTAATTTATAATTTGAAAAATTTTGATTACCTCTGATACCTTTTCTTAACCACTTTGCCAAAACATTAATCTTTGGTGTGAATAGTTTAATAAAAATACATATCCACAGAATACTAAGCCTAGTATATAATCTGACAACTTTCGATTACATCTGATACCTCTTCTTAACCACTTTGCCAAAACGTTAATCTTTGATGTGAATAGTTTAATAAAAATACATATCCACAGAATACTAAGCCTAATTTATAATTTGAAAAATTTTGATTACATCTGATAAAACTTCCAATTATGTATCAAATGTTTCTTTTTCTGTAAAACTTTACATCTTATCTATTATTATCTCTAACTCTACATGGATTCAGACAATTTGGTTAACCTTGTAACCACTATAAAAAAAAAGAAATAAATAAAATTACTCTTTTTTTCTTTCTAGAATGAATGAAAATTGTAACAGGAAATTACATTTGTTTATCCTAAACAGTTTAAGGCTTGTAACAGTTTACATACGTTTATACTTAAGTTTATTGTTTTATTGCCGTTTTTTAATCACATCTAACTAATAATTCTGCCATATAAGTTGTAATTCATTTGGCAAATGCATAGATAGCTCAAGTCACCTCATTTAATTATGTAACACTACTCGTGAGCATAGATCGTGAAGAATTTTTTTTTCCCTATTATCTTACCTTATCTAACCTAATAAGTTTTTAATTTTTATATTTTAGTTACTTTTATAACTAGAGGGGCATGCAGTAAAGCACACACCTCTGCCACACAGTGTTGATCATATTTGACTCCCAAAAAAACACAAAAAGTGTACGTATGTTTGTTGTTATCAACAGACATGGACCATTTTTGGCAGGACGTGAGGAATAATTTTACATATGTCCACCAAGTTTCATCAAAATATAATCGTTTTTGACTGAGTTATAGACCAAAATAGTGTGAAAATTCATTCCCCATGTTAACAGATAGGGATTTTTTGGATTTTCATGACCTTTATTATAATCTTGACCCTACAAAAACTAATCACTTCTAAGTTGGGTCATTGTCAAAATCTATACCAACTTTCGTTCAAATCCATTTAGCTGTTTTTGAGAAATCTTGCTGACAAACACACACACACATGGGTAAAAACATAACCTCCATGCACCAGTGGAGTCAACAATAAATAAAAAAAATATACATGAAAAACAGTACTTACATTCAATGTCTTACTTTTTTGCTGTCGGTTGCCAATGAAATTTAAACCTACTTTTTTTGTAATGATGGTAGTAGTACATTAAAGAATGCACCTAAGAACACAGAATAATAATGCAAACAAACCAAACAATGCCTTATAACTGTTATAATTTAACTGGCCTTCTAACTAAGGCATAAGAGCCTTAAAATAATTGATCCAAACAATGTAAAGTAAAGTTTCAAACTGTAGACAAAATAGACAATACTCTATGCTTAAAACAATGTAATATTGTACATCATTTGATGCCTTAAAACTTTGTCTTTCTATAAATGATATGATAGAAAATGTCAGTGAGAATTATTGTCAATTTGTGAAAGAGAGGATATGACAAGTGGGAGTGACATGTTGGTCTGTCTCTAGTTTTCTTCATAACGAAGATGATTGAAGGCCATAAAAACTAGATTTTGCCCTAGTAACATCTATATTATAATTAATAATTTACATCAAACTGCATACTTCACAAAATAAATTACAGAATCGGCAAGACCTAGATAACAAATGTCACATTTCTCATACAAGGGAAGATTGAGGATTTACTTAAATATTTCCTTTTGAAACTAAGAAATCAAACTTATATAATATAATTATACAATTTATTACCTACATTTGGTAATAAAGTAGTTTAATTACACTTTGAATGTAACGCTGAGAAAAACTGCGACATGGGCAATGGGTGGGGGTCAAACAAGCAATGACCTTTTACAGTGTCATTCAACACAGCATTATACATTTGATATCAGAGTTATAAACTATATATTTTATCCTACATTGCTGACTTAGTGACAGTTTTGTGGTAGAGGAGAGTAAATACTAGATAAAATATATAAGGATATCAAAAAACTGTAGAAATGTATTTCCAAGTTTCTAGAGGTAATGCAAATACAATACACAAACTGGACAAAAGTATCTTTATTCTTCACGTGAACATCACCTTGCACAACAACTTGTCAGAGCCAGACTGAAGTCATCAATTCACAGACATATTTTGAGTACTAATACCTTTTTAAGACATCATTTTTTGTGTACAACAAACTTGTACATTTTATTAAAAGCTTGCTGCACTTCATATAGATACACATAGTAAATTTAGAATTACAGACAACATTCTTTCTTCATTAGGGGGTTGGTCCAATGGCAATTCAATTTTAACCTTAACAAAACCTAATTCATAATTGAAATTATGCTTTACAAACATATATAAAATGTATAGCAGTGGCTATCTTTAACAGATAGTTACTACACTGTATTTAATACAAGAAAAAAAGTGAATGTCACCAGAAACTTTGGAAATATTTTAACTAAATATTGACAATCAAGTGACTATTTTCAAACTAGCAGAGACCTGCAGAACATTTGCAGCTAAATTTGTATCTTTATTGTAACAGTATTTACAGGATTTTTAGAATAATACAAAATAATTCTAATTGCAGACACAGAAATCTGTAAGTCCACTCGTCTTAGTCCTAATATTAGTTAAGCCTTTATTAAGTACAGCCTATATTAGACAAAGAGATAAATTAACACTATAAATTGTGTACATGTTAAAACTTACCGCACTTAATACTATCAATAAATAATCTTCTAATATTATTCTATGACCTAACGTTAGACCTTTTTAAAAATTTTGATAAGGTTTTACCATGTTGTATAAAATGTCTACTGAAGTACATTTATGTCTTTCTAGCGTAACTGGACGATTTAACAAAGATACATTTTCAAATTGCGAAAAAGATGTAATTTTTTGTACATTTTAGTCCAAATATATCTTTAATTTTTGATCAATCGTAGACTAATCGCTTCTAGTTGATGGGAAGACAACCTACTTAAATTACGTAATAAGTTGCAATGACATCAGTGCATGACTGACAGACAGACAGATACACACTGTGTTTTATAGTATTAGATTAGATATATTGTTTCCAGGAGTTTTAAAATGAGCTGAATGCTTAAGATGTTACTGAAAATGACTACTTTACTTTTGGTGATGCAATCTTGTCCTGAGGTTCAGGAGCTGGAACATTCTGGGAAGAGTCAGAGGCAGACTTCAGAACCTGACCACGGCTTTTCTCATCAGGAACTGGTGACAAAAATAAACATTATAATAATTAATCATGTTTTGTACACTATAACATTAATATCACAAAAATCATGTGAAACCACAAGCAGCAAGAGTAAGTTTACATACTAAGAAAAAAAAGAAAGACTTGTAACGAAGTTTTACTACTAATAGTAGACATCGAAAATTTACTTGAATAAAAATTGAACATTTTTCTACTATTCCTTTAAAGTAAGGTTATAATATCGATTTTAAACTACTTAACTCAATATCAGATAAGAGACATTTCCAAATATATCCCCATAATTCAAATTAACATATCATTATTGTTTTGTTGATATATTTACATATAGTTATTTCATTGTCATGGTGGGTCATTTTGTCCAAAATGGCAACACAAGTGTTAACCATAATAATAAACCCAAGTCTACTCTTCATTTAATGTTTAGCAGTAAACACTTAATTGGATCTCTAGTATCAATTATACATTGGACTGATAAGAAAAAGGGATAAAAATCAGAAATAAGAACATTTTCAATTTATTTTAAAATCCAAAGTTCCATACCACAGTGTAAAGCTAATAAACTAGTGGCATAACAGAGTACTAGCTGCAAACGTTTTCTAATTCAGGAAAAAAAAAAAATCTTCAAATATAAAATTACTCAATATATTTCTGAAATGCTCATTAACAAAACTGAAAATGTTGCTTAATAATATGCCAAATGCACACTGTGTATTATATAATTAAAAATATTTGTTAAGTTCTATCAGTGACTTCTATTATTGCCTCATCACACTTTATCTTTGAATTAAAAAATAATATGCAGACAAAGATCAAGATCTAAGTTTCCATTACTCTTCCAGAATCTAGTTTAATGTTAAGCTCTGAGATAAATAAACAAAATGTACATTTCATAACAGCTTATCTTCACAAACAATGGTTAGACTAATATAATTTTCTTTTATAAATATGTTTTTACAATGTTTGGCACAATTAAATTTTAACTTCTCCTACCACAAATGACTAATGTCAGTCACAAACAAAGATATTCCAAGTAACATAACTCAAGACTTGTGAAATGAAAGAACTTTCAGGTACAAGTCAACTGTACAAAGGACCTATAGCACTATTAAGTAATACAAGAAACTGGAAAAACTCTTCGGTACAAGTCAACTGTACAAAGGACCTATAGCACTATTAAGTAATACAAGAAATTGAAAAAACTCTTCAGCATAAGTCAACTGTACAAAGGATCTATAGCACTATTAAGTAATACGAGAAACTGGAAAAACTCTTCGGTATAAGTCAACCATACGAAGGATCTATAGCACTATTAAGTAATACAAGAAACTGGAAAAACTCTTCGGTATAAGTCAACTGTACAAAGGGACAAGAGCACTATTAAGTAATACGAGAAATTGGAAAAACTTCAGGTTTGAGTCCTCCATACAAGAGCACTAGTTACTGTCACAATTGTGGAAGAACAAGGTACTCCAGAAGTTGAGTTCTTAATATGGAAAATGTGTGTTGTGGCTTGACTTTTGTTAGTATGGAAATAAGCCAGGGTCACAATAGAAAGTCTGGAGAGATTAGGGAGGATAGTCTCTTTAGATCTATAAAGTGATACATGCAGCTGGAACAACTCTCAAAAAACGTTCACCTTTCATAAGCATTCCAGATATAAGGTTTTGTATTTTAGTCTTAAACGGATTTTTTGAAACTGTGCGTTTTCCTAACATCATGAATGGAAGAACTCTCAAGTAGTAATTTACCATACTAAAGTTCTTTATGCCTCTGAAACTATAAAAGCAATTGGAAGAACTCACATACGAGTCTACCGTACAAAACGTTACAGAACTATGAATTGTTATGAATAAGAGGAAGAACTCTTAGACAGGAGGGCAATATATTATTATACAAATAACCTAATATAATGTAATTTCAAAGATATATTAATTTATAGAAATAATATAAATGCTTCAGTATTTTTATTTCCCCAACATTTATTTATTTCACAAATAATGATACTAAATTATTAATATTTTTTTATTTATTCACTAAAATAACAAATGCAATTCAAAATAGTTTAAAGTATCTAAATTCTGGTATCAAGATTATATCTTTGCAAATTTATTTTTTTAATAGAATCATTTACTGAAAAAACGTTTGATATTCGTTTAAGAGATTTTAAAGGCTATGAACGAAATATGAAAACTGTAAGATGAAAAGACTGGCTCAGTAAAGGCTTTGTAAATTCACACACAAATCCTTAGAGGAAATATTTTATTTTCTGTATACAAAAAGACTGACAAATAGTTACTAAAAACTTGCCAAATTTGGAGAAGATACACTCACTAAATTTAGAATTTCAATATATTAATTTTCACACTTTCAAGGTGGGTCAAGATGACCCCCCCCCCCACCCATTTGTTGTTTTCAATAAATGTTGTTACGACAGTGGAAGTCACATGACGCTGCTGGCACATTGGCGCTGGTAGCATGCTTGATGAGTTTCTCAAATGATCGGGGAAGTCCGAGTGTGTTCGAGATGCCCTCTTCGTTAGTATATAAGCCTGCCAGAGAATGCCAGCAGGTATAAATGAAGAGAGAGCAGTAGTTACTTTGAGTTCTGTGTAATTTATGATTTTGTTAATTTCGAGCTAGTGAGCCATAAAGTGTGTGTTTTGCACTCGTCGAAAGCGAGGTTATCGAGATTGTGAATCGCTGTGATTTATAGTGTGTATTATAAATGTTGTTAAGTTTAAAGTGACGAGAAACCTACTGATTGTGGAACTACTGTGTACTAAAAGTTTGTATCGAGGAAGAATAAACTCGTTTAATC